GGAAGGAGGAGAAGGAAGCGGGGCACCTTATCAGTGACGTCACACTCGCGGTCATAGACAATGTCCAACCACGCTGATAACTGAAGGGGGACCGAGATAACACTTACAGGCCTCATGTGAGGGTGAGTGTGTTTCTGGCTTGATGTGAGGGTGTTTCTGGGATGATGTGAGTGTGAGTAAGTTCATGCCTTGCGTTCACTGGGAGATATGGGAGAGTGTTGCTTTCACCGTGGATCTTGTAAAGAAAGGTTATTCAGTCTGTTTATAAAGTAAATATGGGAATGAAGGTACATTGTGATAATACAACTAGAGAGAGAGAGAGAGAGAGAGAGAGAGAGAGAGAGAGAGGGGGAGATTTAATAAATAAAGGCTATTCCTACTAAGGGAGATAACACGCTCATGAAATAAATGGCCCTCTAGGAATAGGTTTCAACTTAGTGGATGAAGGATTACAGCTCTTGCTTTGCACTTTCCCCAGGTCCCTTACATTTCTCATGAAATAAATGAGTTTCTAGAAGCAGGCTTCAGATGAGCTGAGATAGGATAGCAGCTTTTGTTTGCAATTTCACTAGGTACGTCATTTGACAGCCCTTATATACCCTTGTCTTAGTTTAAAAGAGAGAGAGAGAGAGAGAGAGAGAGAGAGAGAGAGAGAGAGAGAGAGAGAGAGAGAGATAACTCTACACACACTAGTGGGTTCGGATTACACGCTGAAAGAGTTTATGTTGAGACGAGACCCTCCACTTTAAGGCCTGCCCCACCCTCACCTGGGGGGTGAGCCCCAGCCTTACCTGGGGGGTGGGGGTGAGCCCCAGCCTCACCTGGGGGGTGGGGGTGAGCCCCAGCCTCACCTGGGGGGGGGGTGAGCCCCAGCCTCACCTGGGGAGGGGGGGGTGAGCCCCAGCCTCACCTGGGGGGGAGAGGTGAGCCCCAGCCTCACCTGGGGGGGGGTGAGCCCCAGCCTCACCTGGGGGGGGGGTGAGCCCCAGCCTCACCTGGGGGTCCCAAATATACCAACGAACTCGTCAGTCTCAGGGACCCACACAGCACCGCCAGGTTCACATGTACCAGTCACTATTCAACGCTTTCATCAAATAGTTGTCTCTCTCCACGCCCACATTCCCGCCGCGTCACCCCACACGCCCGTGATACAGTTTTTACTTATTATTACGTTATTACAGTACTGTACTTTACACTGGTCAAACTGTACTTTACGTGGATTATACAATGTTTTGCATTAATTATACAGTGATTCACGTGGATTAAACCATGATTCCCTTGGAATTAAGAGTGCTTTACAAACATTGCAAAACAATTAAACATTGATTTGCATGGACTAAACAGTGTTTTACATGAATAAAACAATAAATGTATTGAATTAAACGTTGAAATATAATACTGAACTTAGATGCAGGTGATGAGTCACAATAACGTGGCTGAAATATGTTGACCAGACTACACACTAGAAAGTGAAGGGACGACGACGTTTCGGTCTGTCCTGAACCATTCTCAAGACCGGAGCGAATGGACCGAAGTCCATTCGGTCCGTCCTGGACTTGAGAATGGTCCAGGACGGACCGAAACGTCGTCGTCCCTTCACTTTCTATTGTGTAGTCTGGTCAACACTGAACTTAGATCTCCATCTTTTAGTTCTTAGTCAAGAATCAACACATTTCTGAATGACAACATCGTCCTCATCAACATGAATGACAACATCGTCCTCATCAACATGAATGACCCGTCCTCATCAACAAAGGCCAAATACCCATTAATCCACCGCCAGTCTCACTCTTTATATATGAAAACACTTCACATTATCCTGTCCTCGGGCTAGGCTCGTCCAAAAGGCGGTCAAATCCAAAGACACATTCATAAATTTTAACATATTGCATTTCAAATTTGCATTTTCTCAAAAATAAGTTAATATTATTACGTGCTAGATTGTTTAGAATAGTTTGGCCCAACTTTGTTTAGGTTCGGTGATTAGGTTGTGTTGGCAATTATTTGTATTTGCAGTATATGAATGTAACATTTAGAGAAGTGCGATTCGAACAGAAGACGTGAACGAAACACTGCTCCGAAGCAAGGGAGCCGGTCGGCCGAGCGGACAGCACGCTGGACTTGTGATCCTGTGGTCCTGGGTTCGATCCCAGGCGCCGGTGAGAAACAATGGGCAGAGTTTCTTTCACCCTATGCCCCTGTTACCTAGCAGTAAAATAGGTACCTGGGTGTTAGTCAGCTGTCACGGGCTGCTTCCTGGGGGTGGAGGCCTGGTCGAGAACCGGGCCGCGGGGACACTAAAACCCGAAATCATCTCAAGATAACCTCAAGATAACCATAAACAGGGGGTTTGGTGGGTCGATTAAAAGAATCATCTCAGCCTGTCTACAGCAGTCCATTATTCGTATATTGTTATTATTTTCCCTCATAGATAAAAAGATTGCAATGGAAATCAATTACAAGATGTATTTGCACAAATTAATTTTATAATGAGGTTTAAATACACATAAGGACTTCGCAACCTGTCCTCAGGGCACGGGCTCACCATAGCCCGTGCTACTTGGAACTTTTTGTTCCAAGTAGCGAATCTTAAACAACAACAAACAATGTCCTCAGGGTAAGCTCGCCCAAACTGTGATCATCCTCATTAGACGAATTCATTGTTTAACGTACTGCGTTAAACAATATTTTATAAAAATAATTAATACTATTATATACTTAAATGTATTGTATAATTAGGCCTAGATTAGGTTTGGTTAGATTGATCGGTTCTGTTAGTAATTGTTTGTATTTGCGGTGCGTGAACGAAGCATTTAGAGAGATGCGATTCGAACAGAGGAACTAAGTACTTACGTTATCAGCTGTGAGTCGCGTGAAACAACCTGTCCTCGTCAATAAAGGCCAAATGCATCTTAACGACGTTTTCATCATTTAATTTCCGTCGTCTTGTCTATGAACTGCTAAATTAAATAGTTGTTAATAGACAGCTATGAACTTGTCTATAATAAGTTGGGATATGATATATTAATTATTTATATTATTATTATAATAATAATTGGTGTATGTAATAATTATCACTCTTCCTTCTGCTTGGTCTTGAAGGAAGCTGGCCTCGAGTGAGAGAGGGCTGTGACGATCTCTGTCTGGAACCCGTAGGTGCGGGACCGGGCCGTCCACCTCCTGGGGCTCGTGCGGCCCCCCAGGCTCTGCTTCAGGAGGCTGGGGTCGTTCTTGTCCTTGATGGGCTGATTCTTCTCCGGCCCCGACCACGGCGGTCTCCAGGGTTGGAGGTCCTTGTGCCTTCTGTCACCAACTTCGAGGTCAACTCCGGAGCTCACAGTTCCTGCGACGGCGCTGGAACCAATCGTATTAGCGTTTGCCTTTCCATTGGAGAGTTTCGGCGCCGTGGAGAGGGGGGACCTGCTGCTTGGGTAACAGCTTCTCCTCCGTATCAACCTACCCTGGCTTTGCGCCCTGTTGCGGCCACTCCAGACCAACAACCAGAGCGCAACGCCATAGTCTCCTGAGACTGATGGATGCCCAGTAATAGACAGAAGTGGGTAAGACATGTTTTAGAATAACATTATACACAATTTTGCAACAAAAAAAGTGATGAAATCTTACGCAAATTTAAGTAAAAAAAGTTATCTTAGAAAACATTAGCAGAAAGAAATCCCATTAATGATGTATCAGTGAGAAAATCAGACGGAGCCACGAGGTACTCCCAAACACACGCCATAGTTATTGTTGTAGACTCAGTCACTCGGAACAAAAGTTCCAAGTAGCACGGGCTATGGTGAGCCCGTAGTGGACTTACACGCCTTAGACCACTTAACCCACAACATGGTAAAAGCAATGCTATCAGAAACTATCCAAACGAATCCTTTCGGGGTCCCGAGGCTTCCACTAAATCCCAGTCAGGCTTTCACACATTGTCCCCCATCCACTCTGACTGTGTTCTTAGGGTTTCACCTCCAACGACGTTTCGATCCATTATCAAGTGATAATGGTCCAGGACGGACCGAAACGTCGTCGTTTATTCACTTTCTGATGTGAGGTTTGGACATCACTGTATGTAACATACGCAGACACATTAGAATTAGTAAATATGTAAGCAGGCGATGAGTCACAATAACATGGCTAAAGTATGTTGACCAGACCACACACTAGAAGGTGAAGGGACGACGACGTTTCGGTCCGTCCTGGACCATTCTCAAGTCGATTGTGACTTGAGACAATCGACTTGAGAATGGTCCAGGACGGACCGAAACGTCGTCGTTCCTTCACCTTCTAGTGTGTGGTCTGGTCAACTGTAAATATGTAAGGTCGTATGTGAGTAAGACGACTGAGGCAGAGTTAAGATGAGCGAGCAGGGACCTAGGACACCTCTCATCTCCACGCCTCGTTAATAACTGACCAATTGGCTCGAAAACACTGATATGTAATAGCTGGTTGTGCGCATGCGCGCCTTTCCTAATTGAGGAGAATATTGGTCTGCTTTAAACATGCTATAGGGAATATGATGACAGACTAAGAGCTGGGATATGATGACTGACTAAGAGCTGGGATATGATGACTAAGAGCTGGGATATGATGACAGACTAAGAGCTGGGAATATGATGACTGACTAAGAGCAGGGAATATGATGACAGACTATAAGCTGGGAATATGATGACTGACTAAGAGCTGGGAATATGATGACTGACTAAGAGCTGGGAATATGATGACTGACTAAGAGCTGGGAATATGATGACATCCTTCACCCCCTCAACGTTGACTTCCCACTCGAAGTCCCCCTCAATGTTCCCATGTCTCAACGTCCCCCTGCCTCCCGACGACCCCCTAACCTATCCCCCTTCTACGTCCCCACGCCCTCATTGTCCCATCCCCATCCCCACGCCCCCTCTTCCCCATCATGTCCTCCTTCCCTCTCAACTCCCCCTCCCCCCTCTCAACGCCAGCTCCCCCCCCTTCTCTGAGACCACACAATACTGTGATAAATCCCACACTCACAATCACAGTCACGGGGCGGCACCTGGCACTCCCCTTGGCACTCTGGCACCGCTTCCCTCCAGTAGCGACCGTGTCCTGGTGACTGTAGTATAGTGATCCTCGTGTCCTGGTGACTGTAGTATAGTGATCCTCGTGTCCTGGTGACTGTAGTATAGTGATCCTCGTGTCCTGGTGACTGTAGTATAGTGATCCTCGTGTCCTGGTGACTGTAGTATAGTGATCCTCGTGTTCTGGTGACTGTACTATAGTGATCCTCGTGTCCTGGTGACTACTATAGTGATCCTCGTGTCCTGGTGACTGTACTATAGTGATCCTCGTGTCCTGGTGACTACTATAGTGATCCCTCGTGTCCTGGTGACTACTATAGTGATCCTCGTGTCCTGGTGACTACTATAGTGATCCCTCGTGTCCTGGTGACTACTATAGTGATCCTCGTGTCCTGGTGACTACTATAGTGATCCCTCGTGTCCTGGTGACTACTATAGTGATCCTCGTGTCCTGGTGACTACTATAGTGATCCCTCGTGTCCTGGTGACTACTATAGTGATCCTCGTGTCCTGGTGACTACTATAGTGATCCCTCGTGTCTTGGTGACTACTATAGTGATCCTCGTGTCCTGGTGACTGTACTATAGTGATCCCTCGTGTCCTGGTGACTACTATAGGGATCCCTCGTGTCCTGGTGACTGTACTATAGTGATCCTCGTGTCCTGGTGACTGTACTATAGTGATCCTCGTGTCCTGGTGACTACTATAGTGATCCTCGTGTCCTGGTGACTGTACTATAGTGATCCTCGTGTCCTGGTGACTACTATAGTGATCCCTCGTGTCCTGGTGACTTCTATAGCGATCCCTCGTGTCCTGGTGACTACTATAGTGATCCTCGTGTCCTGGTGACTACTATAGTGATCCCTCGTGTCTTGGTGACTACTATAGTGATCCTCGTGTCCTGGTGACTGTACTATAGTGATCCCTCGTGTCCTGGTGACTACTATAGTGATCCCTCGTGTCCTGGTGACTGTACTATAGTGATCCTCGTGTCCTGGTGACTGTACTATAGTGATCCTCGTGTCCTGGTGACTACTATAGTGATCCTCGTGTCCTGGTGACTGTACTATAGTGATCCTCGTGTCCTGGTGACTACTATAGGGATCCCTCGTGTCCTGGTGACTGTACTATAGTGATCCTCGTGTCCTGGTGACTGTACTATAGTGATCCTCGTGTCCTGGTGACTACTATAGTGATCCTCGTGTCCTGGTGACTGTACTATAGTGATCCTCGTGTCCTGGTGACTACTATAGTGATCCCTCGTGTCCTGGTGACTGTACTATAGTGATCATCGTGTCCTGGTGACTACTATAGTGATCCCTCGTGTCCTGGTGACTGTGCTATAGTGATCCCTCGTGTCCTGGTGACTGTACTATAGTGATCCCTCGTGTCCTGGTGACTGTGCTATAGTGATCCCTCGTGTCCTGGTGACTGTGCTATAGTGATCCCTCGTGTCCTGGTGACTGTGCTATAGTGATCCTCGTGTCCTGGTGACTGTGCTATAGTGGTCCTCGTGTCCTGGTGACTGTACTATAGTGATCCCTCGTGTCCTGGTGACTGTGGTATAGTGATCCCTGGTGTCCTGGTGACTGTAGTATATTGATCCCTCGTGTCCTGGTGACTGTGCTATAGTGGTCCTCGTGTCCTGGTGACTGTGCTATAGTGATCCTCGTGTCCTGGTGACTGTACTATAGTGATCCCTCGTGTCCTGGTGACTGTGCTATAGTGATCCCTCGTGTCCTGGTGACTGTGCTATAGTGATCCTCGTGTCCTGGTGACTGTGCTATAGTGATCCCTCGTGTCCTGGTGACTGTAGTATAGTGATCCTCGTGTCCTGGTGACTGTGCTATAGTGATCCTCGTGTCCTGGTGACTGTACTATAGTGATCATCGTGTCCTGGTGACTACTATAGTGATCCTCGTGTCCTGGTGACTCAGGCCAAGTGTTGCGGGTTGGCCATCTAAGATAACGGTGTATTTACTCAAGATCTGAGCACCATTGTGCTTCATATAAAGTTTTGTAACTACTGCTGTCGAGTAAGAGTGAAATTCCCCTTCCTTGAGATTATCTTGAGATGATTTCGGGGCTTTAGTGTCCCCGCGGCCCGGTCCTCGACCAGGCCTCCACCCCCAGGAAGCAGCCCGTGACAGCTGACTAACACCCAGGTATCTATTTTACTGCTAGGTAACAGGGGCATAGGGTGAAAGAAACTCTGCCCATTGTTTCTCGCCGGCGCCTGGGTTCGAACCCAGGACTACAGGATCACAAGTCCAGCGTGCTGTCCGCTCGGCCGACCGGCTCCATTTGCTCTACATTTTTCTTAACTTCCCTGAAAGCTCTGAGAAAAAATTACAGATACAGGCGTCCGGCCGCTCTCGAATCTAGGAGGTGAAGTGACGATTTTCCCGCCCGCGGGCGTCTGGTCGTCGCGACATCACCGTCTCCTAGACGGTGATTGGTCCAGACTGTCTTCTCTCTGTCATTATCAATTCACCAGCCTACTGGTTTCCCGGGAAATTTCCACTTTCCAGGAGGAAACGGCATCGTCTCTCGATTCTTCCTCCTCACAATATTTCCTGTTGACTCAATATCTCATATTTATTTTCTACATTATTTATCACATTTGTCTACACTGTTAGCCAATCCCCGAATAGGAATATGCCCTCAGTTATGGAGGGAAGGCTAGGAACAAGGCTCACCAGGGGGTAGCCTAGGCCGTGTCCACTCATATATGACACATACTAGTTGTTAATCATTGTCAGTCACTAGTATTTATTCTCTTTATAATATTAGTATATTTTGGTAGCAGTCTTTCCTGTAGACATATATTATTAAATATGACCGAAAAAGTAAGATTAATAATTCTAACACGAATTTTCTCGATATTTCTAATGTTTCTTTTCACTGTTGATGGTAATTGAAAAATCAATTCCCCAAAATTCATTTTTATTTCTAGTCTAGACTAGAAATACGAAAGACTAGAAATAAAAGTGAATTTTGGAGAATTGATTTTTCAATTACCATCAACATTGAAAAGAAACATAAGAAATACCGAGAAAATTCGTGTTAGAATTATTAATCTTACTTTTTCGGTCATATTTAATAATATATCTCTATATAATACTAAAGCTTAATGGTTATAAAATACCAGCTAATAACCACTGTTAAGAGTTAGTAAATAATATCAATAAAGCAATAAATATTTAGTAGCATGGATCTGTCTGCTTTAATGCGAGGTAACATAAATGGGTCGTGCTCCGGCTGACGTCAATAATCCCGCCTGATATCCGCTTCCATTAATCCACGAGGGATTCGGAATCTATTTCCGATGTTTCCTCCAGTTGTGTAAACACGATTGTCGTTAACGACAGCAGCAAATGCAGTCGCCACGCTGTGTTTTCTCAAGTGAAAAATATAAACATTCAAGTCCAGGTCTGTGTGTGTGTGTACTCACCTATATGTGCTTGCAGGATCGAGCATTGACTCTTGGATCCCGCCTTTCTAGCTATCGGTTGTTTACAGCAATGACTCCTGTCCCATTTCCCTATCATACCTAGTTTTAAAAGTATGAATAGTATTTGCTTCCACAACCTGTTCCCCAAGTGCATTCCATTTTTCTACTACTCTCACGCTAAAAGAAAACTTCCTAACATCTCTGTGACTCATCTGAGTTTCCAGTTTCCACCCATGTCCCCTCGTTCTGTTATTATTACGTGTGAACATTTCATCTATTTCCACTTTATCAATTCCCCTGAGTATTTTATATGTCCCTATCATATCTCCTCTCTCCCTTCTTTTCTCTAGTGTCGTTAGGTTCAGTTCCTTCAGCCGCTCTTCATATCCCATCCCTCGTAACTCTGGGACAAGCCTCGTCGCAAACCTCTGAACCTTCTCCAGTTTCTTTATATGTTTCTTCAGGTGGGGGCTCCATGATGGCGCGGCATACTCTAAGACGGGTCTCACGTAGGCAGTGTAAAGTGCCCTAAAAGCTTCCTCATTTAGGTTTCTGAATGAAGTTCTAATTTTCGCCAGTGTAGAGTACGCTGCTGTCGTTATCCTATTTATATGTGCCTCAGGAGTTAGATTAGGTGTCACATCCACTCCCAGGTCTCTTTCTCGAATCGTTACAGGTAGGCTGTTCCCCTTCATTGTGTACTGTCCCTTTGGTCTCCTGTCACCTGATCCCATTTCCATAACTTTACATTTACTGGTGTTAAACTCCAGTAGCCATCTCCCTGACCATCTCTGCAGCTTGTTTAAGTCCTCTTGGAGGATCCTACAATCCTCGTCTGTCACAACTCTTCTCATTAATTTTGCGTCATCTGCAAACATTGACATGTATGATTCCACTCCTGTAAACATATCATTTACGTAAATTAGAAAGAGGATTGGTCCCAGCACCGATCCTTGAGGTACTCCACTTGTTACTGTTCGCCAGTCCGACTTTTCGCCCCTTACCATTACCCTCTGGCTCCTTCCTGTTAGGTGTGTGTGTGTGTGTGTGTGTGTGTGTGTGTGTGTGTGTGTGTGTGTGTGTGTGTGTGTGTGTGTGTGTGTGTGCGTGTGTGTGCGTGCATACTGTGCTGTGTGTATGTGTGTGTGTGCATACTGTGCTGTGTGTGTGTGCATACTGTGCTGTGTGTGTGTGTGTGTGTGCATACTGTACTGTGTGTGTGTGTGTGCATACTGTGCTGTGTGTGTGTGTGCATACTGTGCTGTGGAGGATTAGAGAGTAACTTTTAATCAAAGTAGTTGTTTGCTTATATGATCAACCTGCTTGGGTACCCGGCGTTGCTCGGGTGCTCGAAGACACATTTCATTACACACGACCTTCAACACTGTAACCATTTTCACTAACGACCATCATCACTGTAACCGTCTACACTACACACGATCTTCATTACTAAAACCACCTTCACTATACACTATCTCTATCACTGTTACCCTGTTCACTTCTAGGAGCTTCACTTCACCGCAAGCCTTCTAGGGGGCTCCTATAGCAGTTAATCATCACGTAGAAACTCATATGCTGAATGAATCTGAGTGAGGACGAAGCTATTTAACTGCCATTTAACGAGGTTGGAATTTAAGTGGACCTCCCAATTACTTGATCGAAAGCCGCGTTCTGGTGGATTTAGTGACCAGGCACCTTCCTTAATGGAGACTAGACCATTACTGTAGTGTGGTAATGGTCACGTTAAGGAAGGTGTCTGGGAATCACCAGAACGCGGCTTTAGATCACGTAATTAGGGAGGTCACTTAAATAGAAGGGGACTAAACACCATTACCGTACACTACACTACACTACGCTACACTACACTACACTACACTACACTACACTACACACAGAAATCACAATAGTGTGATGCATCAAATGAACAAATCCACAAGGGCCGTGACGAGGGTTCGAATCTACGTCCGAGAGGATCCCAGATGCTTCCTTAATCGACTGAGCTACGACATGGTAAAAATAATTGCTGCTGACCTTACTCGAACTTCCGGTTGCAATTCTTTTACCATGTCGTAGCTCAGTCGATTAAGGAAGCATCTGGGATCCTCTCGCACCTAGGTTCAAACCCTCGTCACGGCCCTTGTGGATTTGTCCATTACCGTAGTGTGGTCGAGTGAACGAGGGTGGTCGGGTGAACGAGGTTGGTCGGGTGAACGAGAGTGGTCGGGTGAACGAGGGTGGTCGGGTGAACGAGGTTGGTCGGGTGAACGAGGGTGGTCGGGTGAACGAGGGTGGTCGGGTGAACGAGGTTGGTCGGGTGAACTGTAAAACCCTGGTTGGGCTCCAGTTTGGGGCCTCTAGAACATCCCTGTAAATTCAGTAGAGTTCCGGATTGGTCGATTTTTGTACCATCATGACCGAGTCTGTTAAGGCGGGTGCCTCAGCCTTAAGGCAGGACGGGAATCACCAGAAGGCTGGTTCAAGTTACTCCTATGTCTCAAAATGATCTTGAGTGATATATCACACCATTGTGATTGCGAGTGTATATATAAGAGTATATATATAAGTACATATCTTTCTGTCCGAGGCTTGAAGAGAATATATACACTTGGGGGAGAGAGAGAGAGAGAGAGATGGGTACCCTTCTACTTTATTTATACATATTTGCATTTTATGTTATTATTTCATTCCTCAATTCTTTTAAAATCTCGTTTCCTCCAGGTCCTCCTTTATCATCTTTTCTTATTTCCTTCTGCATGAACGACAACACAAGATACTGTAAAACTGTCCCTCGCAAGATGGGGTTTTTCTTTATATTTCTTTTTTTCTTGCTATGATCTCTAAAGGAGGCTTTTTGATGTGTTATGGTGTTATGTTATGGTGTGGTGGTATTGTGTGGTGTTATGGTGTTGTGTGGTGTTATGGTGTGGTTATAATGTGGTGTTGTGTTACTATGTGGCTTAGCGTTGTGTTGTGTAGTGTGGAGAAGTGTGGTGTGATGCTGAACTGCGTGATATGTTGTAATGTGGTGTGATGTTGTGTAATGTGTTGTAGTGTAGTGTGGTATAGTCAGGCACTGTGTGGTGTAGTAATGTGTAGTGTGGTATAGTCAGGCACTGTGTGGTGTAGTAATGTGTAGTGTGGTATAGTAAGGCACTGTGTGGTGTAGTAATGTGTAGTGTGGTATAGTAAGGCACTGTGTGGTGTAGTAATGTGTAGTGTGGTATAGTAAGGCACTGTGTGGTGCGCGATATGATTCGTTCAACAAATTTATAGTAATAACTTGTGTCATTCAGATACTCCGATGGTTGACCAAACCGACCTGTGAGTAACTCACAAGATTAGTCCCGAGGCTCACTCCAGCCTGGCTCTTAATGAGACAGCAACGCAGAATTACGTTCTCATAACGAAGATTATACACAAAATCTCGCCTCACTGGAGATAAAGAGGAGGTTTCTTCCAAGAGAGGAAACCTTTGAAGTGATTTAGAGATACCCACAAAGAGGTTCTTTGTATTCACGCGAGGTACTCACGGTCAGGACTCACAATGAGTAGTGAGTACGAGGAGTCAAGAAACATATACATCAGGCAAAGCACCTACAAGTAAGTAAATGCACTACTGTTTGTTTATGAGTTACGACACATTTTGTTGGTAATGTGAGTTACTGTTTGGAGAAGAGTGATATGGTAAGTGTGAGGACTTTATCTTTCATACAAATAATTATAAAACCAGTGATCAGAGCAATATGAATATTAATTATAATTATAATTAAAACAATATAAATGATATACAAAATGTCTATCTTGAGATTATCTTGAGATGATTTCGGGGCTTTAGTGTCCCCGCGGCCCGGTCTTCGACCAGGCCTCCACCCCCAGGAAGCAGCCCATGACAGCTGACTAACACCCAGGTACCTATTTACTGCTAGGTAACAGGGGCATAGGGTGAAAATAATCATTAATAATAATGATTATGATAATGAAAATAATGTCATTAATAATAATATAATAATAATAATAATAATAATAATAATACACTGAGAGTAATCACTCTAACGTGACTGCAGCATTGAGAAAATTCGTTGGAGCCGTGATGAGGATTCGAACGTATGTTCCCAGGTACACGCCCCCAAACAACTAGACCACGCCATGGTATAATGATTGTAACCTGGAATTCTGCTGAACACTCGAGGGTTTCCTGAGGCTGAGACTATGCGTTGAGAACACCCGCACCAGTAGTCGAACCCTCATCACGGCTCCTATGGATTTTCTCAATAATAATAATTATAATTATGTCTTATTTCTAAAGAGATAAAAAAGAAGTTACATGATAATACCACAACGTTTGAGCATTTAAAAAGATCTAATACTAATAACTTGTTTCTAAGCTGACCTGACATAGGAAGTATGGAAATATTCTCTCGTTTTCATACACTAAGGAAATACTATACTTATTCCGTTCTAAGTTATTGAACTTTCACATTTTCATTATTCCCTTGTCCCTGATAACCTTACAGAAGCTGGAGTGTGTGTGTTGGGGGGGGGGGGGGAGGCGGGGGGTTTTTCCACTGGAGTATTCCAGTATTCAGTGGAAAAATATTTTCTTAGGTTTAATCCAAGATGTGGGAAATTTCCTCACCTGGTTCTATTTAATTTTACCTAATTTTTATTTAATAACATATATACTCTAGGATAAAATTACTAAAATTAAACTAGAGAGAGGGAAGGGAACTATCAGGGCTTCGCCAAGCCATTACGACTATACAACACTTGGAAGGGTCAGGATAAGGATGGGATGGGACGGGGGGAAAGGAATGGTGCCCAACCACTTGGACGGTAGGGGATTGAACGCCGACCTGCACGAAGCGAGACCTTCGCTCTACCATCTAACCCTTAAACTGGAGTAAAAATTTGCTTTAAAAAAGAAAAATTGTATTTATTTCTTCCTCGTATTTATTAATTAAAAATTTAGGTACCACGTCAGCAAACATGAAATATCAGACCGAATTTGCGCCTGTTCTTAAATCCTTAAAGCGTATAGTCTGAAGATTGGTTTATGCATTAATTAAACTAATAAATCTAAATTCAATTTATTTTAAAGTATGATAAATTGATATCTACTCTCTCCCGGAATTAAAAAAAAATAAAATGCGTATAGAAAATGCGTCTGGAGGGAGGAGTAGAGACCATATTGGACTAGGGACCTGAGCGGACTGATGGCGTCAGTATTGTTAATTACGAGTTATTCCCGTGACGTTGTGCAGCTGGGATCAACACATTCAGTTATTGGGACGTCAACGCTTTCCGGGTCAGTAATTTTAGTTGTGGAGCTCTTCCATTTATATATTGACTGACTCGGTTATGACGCAGGAATATTAACAACTATAGGGTGAGCGTCCATCAAAATATATTGAATTAGATACTAGTTATACAACTCATATGATATAAACTAACACTATTTAGTTGAGTCTATAGTGTAAATTGAGCAGTAGCGGCGAAGTTTACATCTCTTATCCTTCCCCTATCGTTATTTCTCCACCTACTTCATTCTCTTTTTAATTACTCTTCTAATTATTTTTCTGATCCATCACTTCTCCAACTTTCTTCATTTTTCAGCTTAACGCGCCCAGAAGTGTCCGCGCCTCTCTGCCTCCATTACTTTAATCCACATTCCTTGTAAGTGTTCTTCTCTCTGTCATATTTATCACACTACTTGTCTTCATACTTTACTAGTAGAAGACCTGCTTAACGTTCATTTTATTTTATAAACTTGAAATGTTCCTTTAATACACGAATGTCACACCATTTGCTAGCGTGATCTCCGTCACGTCGATCTCATTCATGTGTCGAGTGAACAGCCAAGGTGACAACACAGACCTTGGCGCACTCCTGCATTAATGTGAATAACTCACCCATTACACTATTAACACATAGTCTGCTTCCTCAATAAGAACTCTTCGTAATATTGAATAACATTACAACTCAAAACATGTTCGTCGCTACTCTACAAAGCAGTTATACTATTGATCTCAATTTGATCTACTCAACTTCTTCGTTCATTAAGGAACCCACTTTGGTCATCACTAGATAATTTCTCAATTATTTGCTGTTACCTTCCAATCACTATCCTGTTATACACTTTGACTATTACACTTATAGTAGAGAAGTGCCTCTTAGCTCCAACACTGACATTTATTTATTTATTAAAGTCTAATCACAGTTCTTTTTTCCAATCATCTGTCAGAATACGGCTTTTCCAGTTTCTTCCTGCAAGTTTTCCACATCACTCCCACTCCCCTTTCTCAGTTGATAATAATAATCTCTGCATCTTGCTCACAGGTGCATGCAACTTTCTCATATTTCAGCTCCGGCACTGATCCGCGTATCGGTTCCCTGCACGTATATTCCCAAGTCAGTCTTTTGCGAGTTTAATGTTTAGTTTATTTTTTTAGTTGGAATTCTCTCGTGCATGTTTTAAGCATTTGTCGGCTTCATCATTAGCCTCTTTTTTGTATTTAAAACTTCTTTAAAATTATCTTCATATTTCGGTAAAAATTAATTGATTTCATTATTTTCCGAGTTCCCCCTTTAACTATTATTTTTACTGGTTTTCTAATATTTATATTTCATTCACCTGGGCTCTAGGAGACTCGAACCATGTACCCCACGCGTGTGAGGCAGAAGTTCTATCCACTGAGCTGTGAGTAGTCTTAATAAGGAAAGGTTCCAGAAGCAACTACTGCTGCTGTGCTGGAATTTTCAATTTTCCCTGACTACTACTACTGAGGTTCAGAGGAGTTAGTGAACCACGCCTCCCTCATATAAATTGTCATCCATAATTCCGTGGAAATAAATAGCTGAGTGGATAAAGCTTCTGCCTCGCATGCATGGTGTCCGTGGTTCGAGTCTCCTAGAGCCCAGGTGAATGGAATGTTTATTTCCACGGAAGTGTGGAAGACAATTTATATGAATACATCCTGTCTAAATACATCCAGCTCACCATCCCAAACGAGACCATTATTTTTCAAGTTATAATCTTTCGTATCAGAAATATAAAATTTAAAGTGCCTCTCAAAAAAAAAAAAACTCAAAATCAATTGATTTTCTTTAAGTTTCATCTTTTGCATAGTGAGATATATATATTATTACGTATATCTTTAAGCTTAAAGTTGTAAACAATCATATCTTTCTTTTATTATCCAGATTTGTTAATCTGCAGCTATTATCCCATTTTACCATTGTAATTACCAATAAGAATGATTCTGTAACGTCTTGGTATCACACCAGTCTTGGTCACTAAACTTCCTTAAATTCACAATCGCTACAATCTTCATGTGTTAGGCAATCAATAGAGCATCTATACTGCAAATTTAATTCAAAACCCATAATGGTGATTTTCAATCACATGCATTAAACATCTTAATTTGGATCTCCTATTCAATATGAGATCCAAGGCAAAACAAGACATATAAAGTGCATTAACTTTATTGAATTTGATTAATTTCCAAACACCGTTAAAAGTTCTAAGTGCTAATGCTGCATTTTTCACTAATGGCGCCAAAGTTTTTACTTGAACGTTATAAATAATTTTTGATTTGTTCAGTAACTTTCCGTTTGTTCCTTGCTATTTTCACCTATAACTCACAATGTTGACCAGACCTCACACTAGAAGGTACTGGGACGACGACGTTTCGGTCCGTCCTGGACCATTCTCAAGTCGATGACTATAACTCACAATTTTCACCTATAACCTTCTATTTGCACCTATAACCTTCAATTTGCACCTATAACTTCATATTTGCACCTATAACATATTTTCAACTACAACTTTCTGTCTTCACCTATAGTTTCTTATTTTCAGTATTACTATCTATTTCCACTTATATTTATTTTTACCTATAACTTATTTGTATTATTTTTATATATATATTTATATTATATTTTATTTTTTAGTAGTATTATAAATCTCTTTCTATTTTAGCTTACAGTAGAGATAAAACAAATCTCTGTAATATATAAATATATGCTAAATATTATGTTAGTATATTACAAGTAATAAGAATTGTGTTATGATGATAGATTTATTTAAATAATAATGAGTGACCAGTCAGGTGTTGACGAGGAAATCATTTGAATGTTAATTAAAATAGAGCACAGGTTGTTGTTCTATTAATTCTATTAATTATGCCTGTCTGTTTGTTTTCTTGACTGTCTGTGTCTGTTTGTCGGTCTGTGCCTCTATCTTTTTCTGTCTTTTTTTTTACACAGTTGGGTAATGGGACAGACGACAGCTGACTCCTGTTAGCAAGCTTACCCATTCCATAGCTCATGGTAAGCCTTACCCACTTGTTTCCCCAGAATTCGTCCCGCCAATCGTTTAACAACCAGTTACCCAATCACTGCTGGGTGAACAGAGGCGTACACTTTAGGATTGGCGCCTAGTCAATCCTCCCCGGCCAGGATACTCTCATTTTCTCTCTCCCCTCCATCTCATTCTCTCTCTCCGCTTGGGGGGAGGGGAGGGGAGGGGGGGTGGACAGCGCTCCGAAAGGCAAGTAGAGTGCCCACTGACGGGTGACAGGTGGCTCCATGAACACGTCCCA